CTCTGGACCCAGGTTTCGTGCTACTTGGCACTCGTCAGCAAGGTGTACCTGTAATCTTGAGGGAACTGGTGCTCCCTGACGGACTCGATCTCGTGTCACCCAGCTTCACAGTCAGAGACGTTACCACTGAGCTATCCGAGCCGTGACTAACCTCCTGTAGGACTGAGATGTAATCACAATTGATTGATCACTGGGTGGTAATCAATGTCATGCTTGTCTAGTCCTTATTAGTGCAGATCGAATGCTATCGATCATGTTGCAATGTGGCCAGTTCCCTCACCACCAGTTCCCTCAAGATTACAGGTACACCTTGCTGACGAGTGCCAAGTAGCACGAAACCTGGGTCCAGGGTTTCCTGTTGACTACCTCCAACCACCATCTAAATCTCAATACATAGTGCCCGCAGTGTCAAGTCACCTAGACTGGTGGCCACATTGCAACATGATCGATAGCATTCGATCTGCACTAATAAGGACTAGACAAGCATGACATTGATTACCACCCAGTGATCAATCAATTGTGACGTTAATTCTTTATTTAAATAAAACTATCCATAGAGATATTAAATATTTTGTCCACTGGTTCCTCTAAAATGTGTATATATGTATGTATCTTCAAGTTCTAAGATAACAAGTTGTGCACAACCTACTTTGATCTGATGCCTGAAACGTAAGATTACAATCAAGTTATAATTTTACACTTACATTACTAAGGTATTCTGAGTTGTCTTAAAGTTTGTGCATGACTTGTTAGAAGCTTATCAAGTAAGAATACATTTTTAAGTGATCTTCGGGTAAATCAGATTTGCACATATTTTTCAGAGTCTAGTGCTTTTAACCACTGGCGAAGCATCTTTGTCTTCTCTGATTACTGCGATATTATATAATTTAGTATTTTAACAAAGGTCACAATAAATTTAATTCGGATGCACAACTATTCAGTTTGCCACATTAATTAAGAAATAAAAGTAGAATCGAATCATGAATGAGTAATGCCAAAGTTGTATATAACGAATAACCATCTTAAGTTTAATGACGTGTATTACCTTTTTTGTTAGTCGGATGGGTTCTAAATATCTTAACAAGTGTGACCAGTCAACATCAAAAACCAAATGAAGACATTCATCATTTCCTCAAATACGTGACATGAAACTCTATGACGACGAAGAAAAAAGGGATGTAAAATAGTAAAAAACAGGTGGACAGTAAAATTCTACACTTACTGTTATTTTTGCATTTCTTAAATTTTGTCTTCGTTGAATTTACTAACTAAACAGCTTTCAGATTAGCATTTAATATCAAATTCCTGAATTCTATAAGTCCGTAAACAATAAAAATTATGGTGTAGGATATGCCTTTTTTGTCCCGGACTGACATTATGCAAGCAGCAATTAAAATTAGGAAGAATCAGAGAGTAGTTTTGTTTCGATTCAAGAATATTTGATAGAGCATATTTTGTATTCGAAAGTATGACCTCCTGTCGTAGAGGCACGGGTGTAACTCATTGACTGGATCGCCAAGTCGTTTGATAAAACTTAAAATTCTATGGACTTAAACAGCTGCTAAACAGATAAACATTTACCCTCATTAACCACGACGATCATCATTCATATAAATCGTAGTAAAATTTCATGCTAGTCAGTGATGACCCTGAAGTACTCTTTCGAAAATGTGACTGGATAAAAGTGTAAAGAATCCTAATTTTTATCAGTTAATGTCCGTCATTATTTTTCATTGCTTTCTTCATCCGACGCAATCAAGAAAATAGTGAGATGTGATATGTAATGCTTGACATTCTGAAATTCAACTTCATATCAAAATATTTAAGAAAATATTACATGAATATTTGATACTACTTTCACACTCAAATGAGTAATCTATGCATTATAAGACACTTGTCCAACCGAAGTTTAAAAACGTTTTCATTGTAATTGATATTTGGTGTAGAACAGCTAAAAACCAGAGGAAATGAATATCTTTCTGTTATCAGTTGAAACTTACAATTCGAAAAACCAGTCCTCAGACCTCCAGATTTTAAAGTGAGCTCGTTCCACAAATTTTAATTTCAATCAAATAGCATCAACCGATACCATCTCTGAGTACATTGATTCAGTATTAACTAATGAACTGATATAAGCTGGACACCTTGAAGCTGTTAAAATAAATCATGTTTTATAGGGACTTAACTGATTCTTCATTCAAGTGAATGCCAACCAGTAATATTGAATGATATTAGCTATGCATCGTGAAGTGAATTTCAAACGCTGGATTCTGAGCCAGTGTCTGAATGATAAAGTGAACGTCAACAACTTGAGGATGGTGGTTTCCTTCTAATATTATTTTATCAGCAGATCATCCTGAACCTATAACTATCAAACACATTAATTATACATTGATTGACATATATCTGACTGTCAAGAACTGAACATACTATCAAACCATAAGTTTTTCAAATAAATTGAGAATTGAGTAAAAAGTTAGTAATAATCATATTTTTATGATATCCTAATAATCACAAAGAGTAGGCTCCGGGCTCGCAAAAAAACGTAAGCTGAAAACATTTCTAGCCTATGTTTAATGAAATCAGAGGCCTAAACCATCAGGACCAAGACATAATAAAAAATGGTAACAAACACTAGGGAGAGATGATTATCAACCCTCCGCAAGAGGGTGCTTATACTTATATATATGTCACGAGGTGTACGAACAAAAGCCTCTGTACTAGTGGTATGTACGTAATGCGAAAAAGACAGCCAGTAGTAGCAGATACATCCGAAGGGAGCGTTGGTCATATACCCACTCAAGTGGGTGAATATTTAGTGACCCGACATCTGACTCCAGTTAGATCGTGTGATTGGTAGTTATTGAATGATTGCTATCAAAATATACATCCTGACTACTCTCGTATATAATTATCGACTTAACTGGCGTTGGTGAACAACGGAATTAAATAAGTCAAATACGAGAATGAAGTTTCGAATATGTATATTTTGTACACTCATTGATCTGGACAGTCATAGGAACGGAACGCAGGAAGAGAAGAGAGCGAAGTGAGATGACGCGCAGTGGAGGCGTGTGAACCAACTCAATTTAATCAAGCGTTAATTAATATTTACAGTCGGATAAAAATAACTTACAGGCATGTGATGAATAATATAGGAAATGCACACACACTTACATAGAATAAATAACTAGGTCAAAATGTAGCTTGAAGCTGGTCATATACCCACTTTATGAACGGATTTTATTGTATTAGCTCCTTGCTTTCCAAACCTGATCATTGATAACCTAAATTCCTCGAACAAGGCAAAGTGTGTTGTTTGTAGGGTTAGCATTTTACAGCCAATCCCACCTCTGTGGGGAACAAGCATTACTAGGCATTCCGGTCGTTTGTAAAGAACCCACTACTGAGTCTTCTCCACAAAATGTTTTTTTTATTATTTCGGAAAAGCTTCCACGCTTTTTAAGTTTAACAAGTCAGAAGTGCAAGAGTTCTGTTTCTTAACAACGATATTCATATATACGTAGTCAAAATGACGCTATACGATATTTCTGACCAAATTGAATTACTTGATAGAATGATTTAAATCATCGTTATTTAATGTCTAGTGCTTAAACATGTTACATTTTTTATTCGACTTAATATCAAGAAGACTAACTGCTAACATCAACCGCTCAAAACTTTCCAGAAAGTACTTAAATGAATAACATAAAACATGATTACAGTTCTCAGTAAAAACCCTACTTGGCTTAACTCGTAAACTTCAAACTTATACGGTGATTAGTTTTATAATATATAGGTTTTTATAACAATTCCTATCAAAACTTCAGCAGGATAAACTAAATGTAATCCAGAGTTGGGTTGGTATCTATTTTAAAGAAGGTACCAGTACAAAAACATAAACCTATGAATGCTTATTGAAGTTTGCTTTGTTGATGAAAGGGGGATTTCAAATAATTCCACCAAATTAAGGTATTTTTAAGATTTTGGTTTATTAACGTAGATGCAAATAAATTGTTCAATAATAATAATCCTTTAAATGCTTTTATTCACGCAACTTGAATATTTCATTTTTACTTGAGTTATTCTAAACAAATATAGAAAGTTTCCGAATGTCATACTTATATCCATACAAATTATATGAACTCATTTTTGTTTATCATGATTCTCAATTTGCATTTGGAATTATCACATAGCAAATAGATCATTTCTCTAATTTTCATTATAACATACCATCAGAATTCTTTGTTCATTTAGTTTTATGACTTCTGATAAGAAATTATTTTCTAGTATATTATATTTTCATCACATATGACGTACTTTAACACGATTATCAGTATAGTGGTTGTTGAGATTATTAAATTTTTGATTGAGATCACGAACCGATTAATGTTAGACCACCGTTGGAAACCTCGAAGTACTGGACGGCCGTATCGTCCTATCGTGAGACTCCTCAACAGTGCGCATCCACGATCCCGCTCGAGAGATTCAAACCCAAGGCCTTCAGTCTCGTGCGCGAACGCTTAACCTACTGGACCACTGAGCCGGCATCCATTGTTGTTATTGTCTAACATCAACCAATCCACGAAATTGCGCGACCATCTTCCATTGTACTGCGGTAGATACCTGTCTCTACCCGACACTAACACCATTGGATGCCGGCTCGGTGGTCCAGTAGGTTAAGCGTTCGTGCACGAGACTAAAGGACCTGGGCTTGAACCCCGCAAGAGGAATCTTGGATGCTCACTGCTGAGGAGTCCCACAGTAGGACGAAACGGCCGTCCAGTACTTCCATGTTTCTAACGATGGTCTAACATCAATCAGTTCATGATCTCAATCAAAAATTTGACATGATTACTGAAATATTAATCTAACTGACTGTCCTGCTTCTATTATGCTCATAACTAAAATATATCATATAAACAAGTCAATTGAAGGTAACAAAACACCAGAACCAGGTCATTATATCTTTTCTGGCTGACGATAATAAAATTTTTCTGTATTTTAACAAATATTTGTTTGGAAACATTTCTGATTAAATTAATACATAAACATAAGAACTAAATGATCTGGTAGGTATCATTACCAAGGTTCTTATAAGTAAGAAAGTAATGAGTTGTCAGATATCATGACCAAGGTTCTTATTAGTAAGAAAGTAATGAGTTGGCAGGTATCATGACCAAGGTTCTTATTAGTAAGAACTAAATGTTTGTTTTATTGAATACAAAATATTATAAAATACAAAGTTTATTATCATTTTATTTTTTTTTTCAAAATTTAATCTACTGGACTTCTCCAAATTACACAACGAAATTTATCATACATGAATTCTATAGCTAAAAATGGTTCATGGCTATAATTTGACCAGAATGATCCATCAATTATAAATACTTGCCATAATTTACCATATTTCTCATCTAAATATTTTTTAATATCATTAACTATTACAATTATTGATTTTTCATCAGTATACTTTTTATTCAACATTTCTTTAAATATATTCGTTATATCAACTTGTTTTTGTAAAGACATTGAAGTGGAAAAAATAGTAATGTCTGAATCTAGTTTAGGTGATAAACCAACAGCCATATTCTCTCGATCTTTCTTTTCCATAATCCTGATAAAGAAAAATAGAAGAATTACGTTTATTGCAGCATTATTTCTTTTTTTTGACAGAAATAAAAAGAAATAATATGTTTACATTAGTTTATCTATGATGAAACATTCATTTGAAACAATTCACTACGAAATGACTTTTATTGATATTCAAATTAACTAAGTCTGATTCAGTGTTTAAAGAATCAAGAAAACTGATGAAGAACATTCTTACTTTAATGATGATATAAGTTATAAATAACCATCAATCATATTTTTGGTTTAAAATATTATTTGGACAAAGGCAAGCATGTATGGTTTGAATTAACACAATCCTTGTTGATAAAACCTTTTTTTAAGCTTAACATTTATGCATGTCAAAGTTGTAACATAAAAGTAAATATATACATCAAAACACTTTTCATCTGAGATTATGAAACTTTCATTGAAGCTACTCAGAAGACTATTGAAATGAAAAGCCTAATTTATTAATGATGTTACAATTTTATTCCCTTGGATGTTTTCAATATGAAACTGACCAACAATATCATACGGAATTCCTATGATGGATTAAACTGCAAAATCGTGTATGGAGGACAATTGAAAAAGTCGTTCGAAGTAAAGACCAGTGTCAGGCAAGGTTGCTTACTCTCACCTTTTCTCTTTCTCCTGGTGATCGACTGGATCATGAAGACGTCAACATCTGAAGGGAAACACGGGATACAGTGGACATCTAAGATGCAGTTGGACGATCTAGACTTCGCAGATGATCTGGCCCTTCTATCCCAAACGCAACAACAAATGCAGGAGAAGACGACCAGTGTAGCAGCAGCCTAAGCAGCAGTAGGTCTCAATATACACAAAGGGAAAAGCAAGATTCTCCGATACAACACAGCATGCACCAATCCAGTCACACTCGACGGAGAAGATTTGGAAGATGTAAAAACCTTTACATATCTGTGCAGCATCATTGATGAACATGGTGCATCTGATGCAGATGTGAAGGCGCGGATCGGCAAAGCAAGAGCAGCACATTTACAACTGAGGAACATCTGGAACTCAAAGCAACTGTCAACCAACACCAAGGTCAGGATTTTCAACACAAATGTCAAGGCAGTTCCATTGTATGGGGCAGAAACCTGGAGAACTACGAAAGCTATCATCCAGAAGATACAGGTGTTTATTAACAGTTGTCTACGCAAAATACTTCGGATCCGTTGACCGGACACTATTAGCAACAACCTACTGTGGGAGAGAACAAACCAGATCCCAGCAGAGGAAGAAATCAGGAAGAAGCGCTGGAAGTGGATAGGACACACATTGAGGAAAGTACTCAACTGCGTCACAAAGCAAGCTCTTATTCGGAATCCTCAAGATCAAAGGAAAAGAGGAAGTCCAAAGAACACATTACGCCGAGAAATGAAGACAGGTATGAGAAGAATGAACAACAGTTGGATAGAACTAGAAAGGAAGACCGAGGACAGAGTGAGTTGGAGAATGCTGGTCGGCGGCCTGTGCTCCTTCGGGAATAACAGGTGTTAGTAAGCAAGTAAGTAAGTAAGTCTTTTTATCAACGTTTTTAATAAATACTTAATCAACTAGTGGGTTATACCAGTAGTATGCAGACGATGTTTAATAAATGAATATATACTTAAGTAAAACACTGATAACACAAATATTACGTTATCCTTCAAAGATAATTCTGCTACTATGGTATTGCCAAATGACAAATAATATGTTAAAAAAGCATCATGCTTACTTCTGTCAAATAGCTAAACTCCTTTTATTGTTTACTTTTACTTAATGGTTTAGAAATGCAAATAAAAACAGAGTCTCTCATCGAAAGTAAAAAAATATTTTCCAAAAAATAGAATCATCATTCATAATGATATGAAAATAGTTCATTTGCTTACATTTCTTCATATTGTAAACCGAATACAACACAGAACTCCCTGAATGATATTTTACCAACTGAATTAAAATTAAATGGTTTTAACCAATCCTAGATATGAAAATAACAACAACAACAAAAATAAAACAACGAAATGAGTGAATATTTGAATTAAACTTGCAAATATCAGTACAAGTAAGTCAAATAAACGTGTTTAAACCCTAGAGAAAGCCAATTCAAACGTCTTTGACATTTATAAACGAAGATGGATGATGGCTAGCATTAGAATCCATGATGCATATTTCTCCTTACACGGGACTTGTTAGCTGGATGTATCTGAGTCCGAGTTGATGTTCACTCCGAGACTCGAACCCAGAACCGTTTGATTCAAACACTATCACGTTATCCACTTATCTACTGAGTCTTGATAACCAACTGCGTAAATATGACAATGAATTTCTCGCTTTCCGATTATTATAAATTATTCACGTATTTTAACTATATCATGCACTCATACACTTTTACAAAAAGTTCATAACAGACCGTTAATTCGAATTGTTCTAAATTCAAGCTGAACTGGGATAATGATTGATATTTCTTCCTCATTGTTAATCCCTTGAAGAAATGAGATACGGTTACACTGGAATTTATATATCAAATATAAATCATACGATAAAAAATAACGTCACAGAAGCAGAACTTGTCGACAATCTTTGCAGACGAATGGTAGCTAACTGCAGTTGAAAAATGTTTTTTGAATGAATATAAGGTAGGAATTTGTTATAATATTCTTATACTTTTTACTGTAATCAAATTTACCGCAAAAAGACTAAAGTTATGGATGAAAAATATTTAAAAGGAACAAATTGCGTTAGCTGATGTTCAATAAATTTACCTGTCTATGCTACTTGAAAAATGCCATTATGGTTGGAGACAAATGAATTTAAAACAGCGAATATAGTCGATTTTAACTCACCTAGTCAAAGTGGCTTATACAACCAATATTAATTGGTACGTTTTAGTAGTCTAATGTGTTGATAATCATTTGTCAAAGTGGCCATGTCAGAGGTCTTCAAACAATAGACGCAAAGCTATAAGATTTTAAGGATCAGAGTTATGTGTTTAAAAGATGGATTCTCGGACTCATTTTTTTGCTTGGTCTCCGTCAGGTTTAATAAGTCACTCATCATTTTGATTTTAAAGTGACTTCATTTCTGGCATACCTGATCTTCTATACATTTCGGAAATTGGATCCATCTGTTTCCACAATTATGATTAATTATTTCCTGTGTATTCAAACACTTTATTTAGTACGTCTACTTATTTGATTATCTCTCATACGATTGATTTCACAGGTTATACAACCTCCATATGACCACTGAATATAACTAGTAAGTACATAATTCTTTCTCTCGACCTACGCTTTCCATTTAATAGGCTCACAATTCTAAGTATCCCTTAACTTGATTCAAGTATACAATACACACAACCATTTCCACATATACATACGCTGATATCCCTGCTTTACCAAAAACCCTAAACGTATACCCAGATTTTAAAAGAAATAATTAGCTTAAACTAGACTATTCCTTTTAATCAATAATTTGAAGGGCAATGAAAATTTATCGGAAATCGTTATTTCCATTATTACATATTTAGTTTAATGTACTAAAAATTGCTTAATAAAAATGATTCTTTAAAAATTCTTGTCACTTTAAAACGACTAATATTCTTCTCAGTAATTTCATACCAGTTACAAATTCAAAGTTGAAATCAAAACAATAAATAAGACCTAACCGAACAGTTCATTTTAAATCATAACATCAGAGATATTGATAAAATTCAGTCATAGGTTATATAACATTACAATAGAGAGATGACAGAAATGAAGGGGAGTAGAAGGTGTACTAAAAAAATAATCACTAAGTGAAAGTTGATAGAATTGAACATTGGCTTATTAGGCTTAAGGTGATATAAGATATAAAATAACTGGTAAACCCGTTTCATACAGATGTTTCAAAAAACTAGCAAATTATCCAACAAATCATTATGTGGTGTGAGCTACTTATACTGATATAAGTAGTATATAACGTGCGTTAAAAGAACGTAATGTCCGGCAGCAGAAGATGGCGAAGATCAAGAAAGGAAGAGCAAGAGCACAATGGAATTGTAAGAAAACGCATGTACAATGGAATGGGCGACAATGGATTAGTGTTTGCAACGGGAACAGTACAGTTTGATATGATGGAATGATATTTTGCAAATTGACGATTGACTTTATGGTATTCACATTTTATTGAGATAGTCTGTAATCTTTGTGCTAAATACAATCGATTGTCCCCACCCGTGTTCTTGTTCACTACAATTACAGCTATATACTTTTTTTCTATTTAACAAGTATAGAATTTTTGTTGTTTCCAAGAGCCTTTAATTTTCCTATTTTTAATATTCAAAAGAAAACTCATATCTTGGATACTTCTATCATATCATATAATGTCAAGGTATCCATCCAGGAATCCTATTTCTCATAAACAATGAATTATTAAATTAAATAAAGAATACCAATAACTGAAATATACAAACTCTTATAATTAAATAAATTTAATGATTGACTCAATTATTAAGCAATTTTCTAGTGAATTCTTTAAAATAAATGACAGATTTGAGAATCATTTTATTATTATTACTAAAGATATATAAAGAAAATTATATATATATATATATATATATATATATATATATATATATATATATATATATATATATATATATATATATATATATATATATATATATATATATATATATATATATATATATATATATATATATGAATATATCATTTGTATAAAATTATCACCTTACATTGACCATACGCATATCCATATCCTCTTTTTCACAATACTGAATAAGTTCATTTTTCTCAATAAATCCACCATTATTATTATTACTATCAAGTTTCATAAATATCTCAATAAATTTCTCCATAGTGTTATTCTTCTATTTTTTTATTTTGTTTATTTATTATTATCCTAATTCCTTGTTTGTATTTCTTTAATATCCGATTACAATTATTTTTTCTCTAGTTTTTATGATAAAGAAGGTATCATATCACTTCAATATTCCAAAAAAAAGATGAACATAATCTATTGAGCATAGAATATATCAGACGGATATTTATACAAGTTATTGGTAGTTTTAAAAGTCTATACAAAACTAATAAACTGATTCGTGTATGTTTGTGTTATAAGTGAATAAAATGACACATATTTCTTTGTAGTATGTTTATATCATTGGTATATTATGTAAATTTATTGAATAAATACAATGGAATGTGTGATTTGACTAAAGAAATGAATAAAAATAATTTTGTGATTTTACAGAATATTTACTTATGTTAAACAAAAAAAAACATTTTTTTCAATGGTTTGGATCATGAGTCAATTGAAGCTAGGTCATCGTGGAAAACTTGGAAGCACTGGACAGCCGTTTCCTCTTATTGTGGTATATAACTATTTATAGTTATATAGTAATGTAAAGCTATTTCAAATTTAATATTGAATTAGTTCTTTAATACTTTCTAGTATAATATTAAATACTTTCATATTTTATATTCAGAGATTGTTTAGTAACCTCACTGGTTGAAATCATGAGTCAATTGAAGCTAGACCATTATGGAGAACCTGGAAGCACTGGACGTCCGTTTCGCCCTAGTATGGGACTCCTCAGAAGTTCGCACCCACGGTCCCGTACCCAACGAGGCCCGAACCCAGGACCTATCAGTTTCGCGCCAGGCGCTTAACCAACTAGACCACTGAGCCGGCATCCAAAAGTGGTACTGTCTAACTTCAACCAATCCACGATGTTGCGCCACCGTACACCATTGTCTTCTGTGAGTTGATATCTCACAACAGACCTGGTTGAACTCTACTGGTAACGGCTTCTCACTAGAGCTCCAGGAGTATCTCTTGAAGTCAGTCACTAGTGAGCAAATGATTATCAGAAGGGGTTTTGTGGAGATTTTAGAAATTTCACTGGTTGTTTAGTATTATGAAAGTCTTATGAATTCTATTATCAAAATTTTTTAAGTTACTGTAAAGCTATAATGTAAGTTTGATCAGTTCCACGAAACTATCTTATATAAATTGTTTGATTGTTCGTTCAGTACAGTTTTGAATGTCATTTTGACATTTGTTGAAAACGCTCTTTATTGCTGGACCAAGATATCTATTTTGTTATCCGATTTAAAGATATATTGTAAACATTACTTCGAAAAAATAAGTGAACTTCTACTGAATCGTCTTTTATGAACCTAATAAATTTTCTGGTCGAAATTTGAACTCTTCCTGTTGGTTAGCTGAGATTAGGGAAGAAAATTAGTTGTCTTTATTCATTGTTCATAATAGTATTAGAAATATCCACTTTAAACTTTTTACGCATTGTGACCATCCTTTGATATCACTAGTGGCGTCTCCTTCTCTGGACAGGGTTTCATGGTTTAATTTCTTTGAGGTACGCACTGAAATACAGGTTTCATAATTAGACAATCTAGTTCAATGAAATCAACCTATTTTAACTGACGGTGTGAGTATCAACTCTGGGATCCAAGTAAATCCGGCTGGAGAGTGCCAAAGAGAATTTCTGTGACTCAACTGTTATCCACAACTGTTACCATTCCATCCTATGTAACCTAACTGAATTGTTTAAAGAGTACCAAACATAGTTCTCTGAACACTCATTTAATGACTAAGGTAGCAGCTAGTAACCTGAAATAATTCTTTATTACATTTTAATCACCATACAACATGTTATCCAGTTACAATTAACAAAAATAATGCATCTTAAGAATGAAGACAAGTTATAAACATACTGAGAACATGTGCAGTAACTCAATCAAAGGTTGATAGGCATCCTTTTCATGTTACCGTTAATTGTATTTATAAATTTACATGTATCTGCCAAAAGCAGCTACATTGGTCGAACAGAAAGTAGGGTATATCTTAGATTTTTTGAACATATTCCAAAAAGCCTCAGAACAAGAGAAAGAAAGACTCTGAACAGTGTAATCACTAAACATCTCCTTGATACAGGACATCAGGTCGATACCCTACAACATTCAAGGTGATTAGTAAACAGCCAAACTCCAGTCTTCTGAAGTTTGCTGAAGCCATCGCTATCAGACGCCAAAAACCTGATTTATGTGTTCAAATGGAGATGGTTATTAATCTTTCCTTGCCTTGGTGACTAATATTCCTTCGTTGTATCATAATTGTAGAAACTGAAGAGAATTTAACGAAAAGAATATTCTTCGTTCAAATACTAGTCTTTTAATATGATGAGGATCTTTAAACAATCAAATGATGATTAAACTTTCCTTGCTTTCTAAAAACATTTTTTAATACCTTCGTTTATTTCACCTCACTGTCACCATGTCTAACAGAAGTTTATTATCCGTATTATTATCATCCTGTAAAAATAAGTATATATATGTATTTGCGATTGTACAGCTTCGAAAATGAATTCACCGAAAACAGAACTCTTCGCTGAACTAATCTTTCTTACTACACTATTCACTAGCAGTTTTCTCAACAACAACAACGAAAACATTTAGTTATATGTCATTGTTAGTGTTTTGAGAGAAAAAAAGTGATGAATCAACCTAAAACGGATACACTTTTCTTTCTATAGTGACATTCCTATTTTTCTTATTAGGAAGGTATATATATTTCCTTTTTGTGAATTTAATCTTTGAGAAAAAAATTTAACAAGAAAAAAAATAGAGAAAATCAAGACGATATGTTTCTTTGTTCACTTTCGATGACAAATTTGAACTAATTTTGAATTTCAAAATTACCTTGTTTAACTTCATTCATGTACATTGGTACATTTTGGTATTATTAAAACAAACAAACAAACAAACAAGAATGACAACGTAACAATCTGCTCAATTTTGTTGTTGTTGTTGTTATTGTATTTTAGTGGTATTTTTATTGTAACAATTCTTTTTTGAGTGTAATAGAAATCACTTATTCATATTAATCAACAATCTATATTTTAAAGAATAAACTACAAAACTTCTAAAATTTCAAGTTTACTAGAATCAATTCATTTATTAATCAATAATGTTTCTATTTGTTCTTTTTTATTCTTTCCTTGATGAACAAACATCTTTTAAAATGGAAGATTTTAATATATATTATTTTCGTTCTTTTATGATTGTTATATCCATAAGATAACTGATGGAAGTTAAAAAATGTGAACTACTGAATTTCCATTCACTAATCTAAATATACTACATTCACTGAGCATCCTGAAATTTTATTTCAATTTGTTTACCCGTTTTAGGTAATCAGTATTGAGGAATATAATACTAAAAAAAATAAACAACTGACCAGTACTCTCTGATTTTCTATGATTGTCTAGCTGAAGTCATTTCGTGATGTGAACTGTGTACGTATAGTACAGTAATTCACTTATGGTATTTAGTTTGTAGTAGTTGAATAAATTCAAGTAGAAGCTGTAAGAATTATTTAACATATTTAGAGTAACAGTAATCAATTTTATGTGGAACAAAAAATTATTTAGAGTACACCCGACAATTTGTTTGCAATTCTAATATATTTTTAAATCGTATGCAAACCTTTGTCTTCTACCATGGGTTGGAGCATTATATATTTAATATCTGTAAGTCTTAGTTTATTCAGTTATCAAACAGATCATTCAAGGTTTGTGAGCTCTTTTGAACTGCAAAATCAATCGTCTACAGTGTATACATATTTTACTACCATTCAGGATAAAATACCTCTACTTTTACTTTTTTTCATAGGTTAGTAACACTCAGTTACTGAGACACAGCACAAACATCGTCCTGAGTATTACAATTTAATCAAACTACAGAAATATCATGAATTAATTTAACTGTTAAACGTATATACACAGAAAGTATTATTAACTAAAAACAAAACACTCAAGTACCACAATCTCTAAATTTCCACCACGAAGTTTTCGTCTCAAATTCTAACTCTACACATTTCAAATATTTAAATTCTTGTTTGTGAAACTTAACCTGTTAACTTTAATCAAGATAACTTAAATATCACTAAAGAACAAAAATAGAAAGTAAGAACAGGCAACCATCTGTATCATGGCTATCACTGTATCTAGGAGCCTGGATATAATTTTGAACTACATTCTAATCAATAAAAGAGTAAAAACTGGACAGACTATAGAAGAAAAACTCTGACTGGCTTGACTTGTATTTTCTGTCTTATTATGTACTAAACTTCGCCATGTTTTTCTTCACTATTTAGCACTCATCGTTAACAGACATTATTCGTACATATACTTTTTCAGAATTGTTAATTAGTTATTTAAGTCATACGAATAATTGCCTGATTGGGACTGGTTTATACAATAAACTGAGTGTGTATGTATCAGACAGTGGTCAATTTACAGACTTAGTCGAAGCTTGGCTTAACTTCGTAATTATCTCAATACAAGTCACTTACAAAAATTACAAATTGACGTATTAAAATAGAGCTCATTGTTGTTTTACCTTCATTATCCTTTTAATATAATACTATCTTCAGATTCAGTAAAGACATATTTCTGAAACTCAAGTAAGTTACGTTCCACTGTCAGTTTCCAGAAGTTTCCATAAAGTACCTATAAATGAAGCATCCTTCAGTTCTTCTTATATTATTTGGTCTTATAAATGTATGCTTTATAATTGTGTCATTTTTTATTAAATATTTTACTAAATACCCTAGAATTTATGGTTTTTATGATGGTCACATTCTATTTCCCTCATCCTGCAAAATTATAGACGATATACCACTATATTTTGATTTATTTGATTGTATGAACGAAGAATATTCTTCTCAATAATTTCTTATCAGGTTCTACAATTATAAATCCAGATTAATAATCCATAAAATTGGCCAGATTTAAGGCAAAATACATCATCATTTGGAAATTGTAATATGTGAATCAGGAACTGTTTGTTATATCTACTATATCTACTATATTTGACCTAATTATTTTACATATTACGCAATTTCCGATTTGTAATCACAATATTCTCTCTCTCTCTCTTACCCCATGTTGACCATATTTATTCTGATAATTTATCTCACAATTTCATTTCGCTTATAAACTGATTCAAG